TGAATAAGGAAGACCGTAAAAGAATTGATGCTTTTGAGTTATGATGTTGGAGGAGAGTATTGAAAGTGCATGGGCTGCCAAAAGAACCAACAGATCTGTGTTGGAAGTAGTACAGCCAGAGTGCTCCTTGGAGGCCAAGATGGTCAAATTTCGTCTCTCATACTTCAGACATGTTGTCAGGAGGAACCAGTCACTGGAGAAGGATATCATGTTTGGTAAGGTGGAGGGTCAGAGAAAAAGAGGAAAACCCCCAGTGAGATGGATTGGCAAAGTGGCAGCATCAGTGGGCTCAAATGTGGTAACAGTTGTGAGGTTGGCCCAGGATCGGGCAGTGTTTTGTTCTGTTGTGCATAGGGTCGCTATGAGTCACTACTGACTCAATGGCACCTAACAACAACATAGTCTTCCAGGACAGACTTGTTTGTTCTGTCTTACATCAGTGTAATAATATTCAATATTCTTCACCTGCACTATCCTTCAAAGGCATTGATTTTTCTTCTGTCTCCCTTTTCATTATCTAGCTTTTACGTGCATATGAAATAATTTGAAAAGAGCATGCTTAGGTCAAGTGCTAGGTCTAGTCAGACTCAAAGTGACTTGTTTGCCTTTTAACATTTGAAAGAGATATTTTACAAAAGATTTGCCCAGTGTTTTAATTTTTTTTGACTGCTGCTTCCATTAGTGTTGATTGTGGATCCAAGTAAAAGGAAATCCATGACAGCTTCAATTTTTTCTCCATTTATCAAGTTGTTGCTTATTAGTCCTGTTTTGAGGATTTCTGTTTTCTTTGTATTGAATTGTAATCTATGTTGAAGGCTATAGCCTTTGATTTCCATCAGTTAGCGCTTCATGTCATCTTTGCTTATAGATACTAATTGGATTTTTATTTTGTTTTTTTTACATCTCTAGGGAAAAGAAGAGATATGGATTGCTAGTGTACTGTCTTTATTTTGTTCCTGTAGTATCATATAAAAATTGTATGAATTTAAGTAGGCCACACCTTATATTAGGAGTCCTGGTGTGGCGCTGTGGATCAATGCACTGGATTGTAAGGTCGGTTTGAACTGCAAAGTTGGCGGTTCAAACTCACCAGCTCTTCCTTGGAAACTCTATGCAGGATTGCTATGGGTCTGAATCAACTCAGTGGCACATAACAACCACAACGCCTTATTTTAAATTCCCTATTTCCCTTCTTTGTGACTCCTTTATTTCTCTTCTATTCACTTTAAGGTTTTCTCATACTTCTACTTGTGGAAGATGGTTTTGGCAAGGTTCTCTTACGACTTTTTGTTCTTTCATCCAACAATTGCTTCTTGTTGTTAAGTGTTAAGGAGAGGCAATTAAATAATTATACTTGTAAAATTAGAACTGTTTTACAACAAAGCTGAATCCTTTATGATAATGAACTTTTATGTAATCAAAACAGTCACAGAAAGTTTGAGGAATGAGTAGAAAGGGGAGAGTCCCTTGGTGGTACAAATGGTTAACATATGCTATTAACTGAAAGGAGTCCAGGCATCCCGCTGCAAGCTAATGCACTGGACTGTAATGTTTGAACAGCAAGGACGGCGGTTCAAGCCCACCAGCTGCTCCTGGGAACCCCATACAGGGTCACTATGAGTCAGAACCCACTGGACGACACTTAATAAAACAACATGAACTGAAAGGTTTGGAGGTTAAAGCTGAGAGAACTAAAGGGAAGACAGTGTGGTGCCCACAGGTGAGTGGTACATGATAAGAGGAGTCTTAATACCATCTGGAAAGAAGAAGTGGAATGAGACTTTGGACCCTGATATCCCTTAATGCTGAAGTCATCTATCCAGGAAGCAGAGAGCTGTGACAACAAAGATGTGACAGAGCACAAGGCACACTGCTGGGCTTTGTGGCCCACAGAGTGAGAAAGCTGAGTGCCTTCTGGTGGGAGGCCTGATTGTGCTTCCCAGCTTTTGTCTGGGAACTTAGGTTTATGGATCCCATGGAGCTGATCCTTGGACCTAGTATCTCTGTGCCTTCAAGTTGAAATTTACAATGGAGTAGAATGCCCTTTGGGTATTTATGTTATTATTGTTATTAAGTGCTGATGGGCAGAGCTAAAAGAGCATTGTAACATTGCCTAAACAGGGTAGAGGCCCAGGGGCTACATAGCGGAGATACTGAGATACAGAGAGAGGTGTGTCTGTGTTCTGTGTTCACTGCTGAGACTGCTGAGAAGAGGTGTTCCTTACTGAGGAAACTTATTCTAAATTCTAAGCCTGAGTTTTGTAACCTGTTACTTCCCTAAGGAGTCTTGGTATGCTGCCATAGAATAACTGACCTCAGTGTCAGTTTGAACTGCCAGGTCTCTGGTTCAAACTCACCAGCTGCTTTTCGGAAACCCTGTACAGGGTCACTTTGAGTTGGAACCGATTCAGTGGCACTTAATAGCAGTAACAACTAACCTAAGAAGCTCTTAGGGAAGCACTGGGTTAAGTATTGTACTGCTAGCAGAAGGTTGGTGGTTCGAACCCACCAGCCACTCTGAGGGAGAAAGATGAGGCAGGTATGCTTCTGTAAAGATTTACAATTTAGGAGCAGTTCGGCATTGCCTTAAATTAAGACAGTCTTACATTGAGTCAATTGACTTGATGGCAGTGGGTTTGATAATTTCCCTAATAAACTCCATAATCTTGATTATGGTCTGTGAATTCAGTGTGGCCATTGCAATGAATTATCAAAACCAGCTAAGTAGAAGGAAGAATGATTGGAGCAAGAATTGATAAAGAAGGTTGGAGAGTAGAGGCTTACCTGACCTTTGCCTCATAGGAATCTGCCTTGGACTAATGTTAATGTTGAGTTTGATTATTCTTCTCCCTGGTATAGTTAGAAGAGGTCAGGGGATACCCTTTGCCATTTTTAGAGTCTCCAAATGAAAAATTTCCCATTCCACTTTACTCATTTTATTTCACATGTAAACCTAGTTCAGAACCCAATCAGTTTGGTACTTCTACTGAGACAAGAATACTGAACTAAGGTACAATTTCTCCAAAAGCTACCACTGACATTTTATGGAGTATAGCATGGTTGTAACCTGCTCAGGGAATGTGCCACAAAATTCTCCATCTAGCCCTGCTCATTTTTCTTTGCACTGATTTTGGAAACTATATCATGGTGTCATTTTTTCCTTACTCTTTAATTCAATGTTTATATCCTAGTTTAAACTAGCTTCAATCCAGTTAAATTGATAAATTGTGGTCTCTTCTACTTAGCATTTCATTAGAACTGTAGAATAGAACCTCAGAATGGAAGGAATTTTCATTAGAAATGCATTGAAAGCATGAACTCAGAAGCCAGAATGAGTTCAAAGCCTAGTTGTGCCAATTACTATGAGATATTGCAGAGATTCATTAACCTCTCTGTGATTTTTTTAATCTTTAAAACAGAAGTAAATGTAGTTACCTCATAACATTGCCATCAGGATTAAATGAGTTAATATATGTTAATGTTTAGAGCAATTCTGGTATATAATAACAAGCACTATGTGTTTGCTGGTATTATTACAATTATTATGTTTTCTTAGCAGTTGGAAAAGTGAAAAATAATTTTGTTTCTTTGCTTTCCTTCTCTTTTTTCTTGTGCTCTTTTGTTCCGATTTACAGCAATTCTGTATAGGATTTCCAAAGAGTAGCTGGTGGATTTGAACCACTTACCTAGGGATGCTGGAGAAGGATATCATGTTTGGTAAGGTGGAGGGTCAGAGAAAAAGAGGAAGAACCCCCAACAAGATGGATTGGCCAAGTGGCAGCATCAGTGGGCTCAAGTTTGGCAACAGTAGTGAGGTTGGCTCAGGATTGGGCATTGTTTCGTTCTGCTGTGCATAAGGTGGCTATGAGTAGGGACCAACTTGATGGCACCTAACAACAACAACCTTGCAGTTAGCCGTCCAGTGCTTAACCTACAGTGCCACAGGCATCAACTGATTGTTCTTGATATTCTATTTTAACTGGAATAATGAGAGAGGAAAGGGGAGCTTCAAAATGCTTGTGAAAGCATTCCATTAACTTTTAATTTTTCCATGAACTTTTTTGGCATCCCCATGTACTAAGTATTTCTTATAATCTAGTTGTTATTAAGCGCTGTCTAGTCAGTTCCAACTCATAACAACCTGTGTAGGTTTCTGAGAAGTGCCTGGTAGGTTTGAACCACCGACCTTATAGTTAGCAGTTCAGTGCTCATCTTATAGCACCAAACCAGGATTCTTCTTAATAATCTTATTACTAGATGACATAGTCAGTTGCGACTCTCTGTGCACAACAGACTGAAATGCTACTTGATCCTGCATTAATCTCACTTTGACCCCATTGTTTACTGCAACTGTGTCAATCTTTGGCAATGGGGGAGGGGGGTCTTCCCTTTTTTTTTTTTTGCTGATCATCCACTTTACCAAGCATAATGTTCTTCTCCAAGGACTCCATGTTTATAACAATGAGAAACAACGTTTATCTATCCTTACTTCTAAGGAGCATTCTGGCTGTACTTTTTAGAAAACAAACAAATGACTTTTTATTGTGACTTGAGTCACGGGTTTACAGAGCAGATCATTAATTTCACATTCAACAAACCATACACTTAATTTCATTACGATTGTAATCCCTTCTGTGTATCAGTTAACAGTATTTACCTCTATCCCCTTTATCTCTTGGACTCCTCCCTGTGACTTCCACTACCTTCATCTTTTCTCCCTCCCAGTGATTAATTTTCCCTTTCCTCATCCTGAAGGAGCTCTGGTAGCGTAGTGGTTACGAATCAGGCTATGAACCGCAAGGTCAGCAGTCCGAAATTACCAGTTCCGTGGGAGAAAGATGAGGCTTTCTGCTCCTGTAAAGATACACAGCCTCGGAAACCCTGTATAGGGAGGGTCACTATGAGTCGGAACCGACTCCACGGCACATAACAACAACAACAATATCCTGATCAGAGAATGTTTCTTTTAGTATGAAAACCTTTTTTTATTTCCATCACAGAATCAATTCATTGTTTCTGCATTTCAAATTAATGTACCAAACTTATCACCCAGAAGGACCGAGTATAGACACTATCAATGGGTCAAGAATGTTGGGAGAGCAGTATGAGAAGCAATTAGGATTCAATTTACTGGCTTTTACAGAAAACACTAGCCGAAACCAACAGAAGCTTGTTTACCTCTCACACAAGAAGCTTGGAGGTATGCAGGCCAGGTTCAACTTTTTTCTAATATTTAACACCAGTGGTCTTGTACAGTGTTTGACCTTCTGTGATTGACTAATTTCACTCAACATAATGTTTTCCTGGTTCATTCATATTATGAGGCATGTCATAGATTCATTGTTGTTTTTCAACATTGTGTAGTGTTCCATTGTATGTACCAAAGTTTATTTAACCATTCTTATCTTGATGAGAGCCCTTAGGCTGTCTCCATCTTTTTGCTATTGTGAATATAGTGTTGCAGTGAACATGGGTGTGCATATATCTATTAGTGCTCAAGCTCATATTTCTTGAGCTTATGTATCAAGTAGAGGGATTGCTGGGTCATATGGTGTTTTCCACAGTGGTTGAGCCATTTTACAGTCTTACCAGCATAAGAGGGTCCTAGTCTCTCCATACCCTTGCCGGCATTTGCTTTTTGTTTTTTTTGAAGTTTGCTATTAATGCTGGGGTAAGAGACCTCGTTTTGATTTGCATCTCTCTCTGAACCCCAAGGTCTTCAGTTCTAGTCCATCAGACACTCCTCAGAGAAAGATCAGGCTTACTGATTCTACAAAGTTACAGACTCAAAGCCTATGCAGGATTGCTGTGAGTTGGAACTGACTCAACAGCACTTAACAACAATGTCTAATGATTTCTAGCATATCCTCACATGTTTATTGGCCCCCTGAGTGTCATCTTTGGTGAAGTATCTGTTCATGTCCATTACCCATTTTTCAATTGGATTATCTGTCTTGTTGAGGTATTGAAGTGTTCTCTTAACTTTAAAGAGTAGTCTGTTATCTGATATGTCATTGCCAAAAATATTTACCTGGTCAGTGTGTTCTCCTTTTACTCTTTAGGTGACTGGCTGTATTTATTCCAAGACAGATTTGTTTGTTCTAGTAGTCCATGATACTTTCAATATTCTTTGCCAACACTATAATTCAGATGCATCGATTCTTCTACAGTCCCTTATTTATTGTCCAACTTTCACGTACATATGAGGTGATTGAAAATATCATGGCCTGGTATTTCCAATCAGTCAAGACACAGATACAGTGTTTATTTACTTTGGAAATTATTGTTCTTATGTATGGGATTCAAAATATTTTAAATTCTGGATCGTCTAGAGAATGAAAGAGAACAAAGTAGGCAACACAGTTTGTAATTTGTTTTGGTGGAATAACAATGTAAGTAGTCATTGATTTGACTTTTCTTTGATTAGGAACTGATTTAGAAATTTCTGAAATTGATCAAACATAACAGAAAGGGAAGAATGTTAGAAACTTTTCATTCTGTCCCTTTTTTTCTTTCTGTGATGTCTAAGTAATGCTGGCATTGTTGTAATTGTTTTCATTTTCATTCCCTGTGAATTGGGAATGACAGTGGAGCTTAAACTCTTATTCTTAGAAAATGTCACAAAATTAAATACTGACACAATTTTTACATAAAATGCAGTATTTTAATCCACAAACTCAAAGACAGATTGTTTAGTGGTAACAATTGCAACATCCTTAAATTGCACACTTAAATCACATTACTTGGAATGATCCTAGATTGACGTTGTGAACTACAGATCATGATTGCTGTTGTGCAATTAAGTGCTATTGAGTCGATTCTGACCCGTGACAATCCTGTATAGGGTTTTGAAGAGCAGCTGGTGAGCTTGAACTGCCGACCTTGTAATTCAAACTGACATTGCAGTTTAGCACATTAACCCACAGCACCACACTTTTGCAAATTAAAACAGTGACAACAACTATTGTAAAACATAGCAACCCTGTGTGCAACAGAGCAGTGCTGGGGACTGGCCTCCACACGGTTGTTTGGTTCACGAGGTGGAGATATCTGGCGGCGATAAAGGTATAGAGAAACACAAAAACGCAAAGAGAGAGACAAAGAGACACCCCGAAACCAGAGTGGATGCGCGACTGGCATCAGGCAGGTCCTGCATTGCAAACATCTCAACCATGAAGGCCGTAATATCCTGCATAGTAAACATCTTGGCTAAACAGGCAGTATGGTTGCAAGGCTGGACTGAGCCCCCTGCATGCTGTAACGCATGCCTTGCCAGTCGTACTGCACCGCCTCTGTTTTATTTAGGGGAGGAACTATACACAAAGCTGGGCGGGACTAAGACAAGTTACAGCTAACATACGTAATTTTCCAGACATTCTGGAAGATTTACATAGTACTTTGTAGGTTGTAAATCTCACAACCGCAACTTGGTTTCTCGGGCTTAATTAACATACCTTTTAGCACCTAGCCTCAAATGGGGGGAGGAAAAAGAGGATTGGGAGGATTCCCATTGTGTTGGCTGCTCAGCCCAGGTCCTTCAAGAAAAGAGGCGCCTGGGTGAATAGGCTGCACCTGGAAACACTTTAGGGAGGGCATTCCTATTGTTCTAAGAACAGAGACGGGGACCACCCAATTTACTTTGAATGAATTCTCTGAGGGAAGACTGTGCCTTTTTTGAAATTTGCAGTCTTGGCTTTTAGGAAAATATCACATTTATCTGGACATCAGGGCTTCATGTAAGCAATTAACTGAACACGAAGTTGAAAAACATTTTGCTATAACTGCTAGGTGGCTAGAGTCTGTTCCTCAGAGCCTGAAGCCTGTATGGTCTGCAACACTCGGGCCCACAGGGCCTTGAACTCCTGACCGGGTCTGCAAGGTCTGCAGCAGAGCAAAAACACTGCCTGGTCTTGTGCCATCCTCACCATTGTTACACTTGAGCCCATCCCATTGCTTCTGTAACTGTGCTAGTCCATCTTGTTCCACTCCACTAACAGACTATATTGTTAAGTGCCATTGATGTGGTTCAGAATCATAGGAAACCTATATAGGGTTTCCAAGGAGTGGCTGGTGGGTTTGAGCCACTGCCCTTGCGGTCCTGTGCATTATCCTGCAGTGCCATTCAAGGATTTCAACAGACTGTTGTTGTTAGTGCCCTTGAGTCAGTTCTGACCCATAGGGACTCTATATAGGGTTTCTGAGGAGCAAGCTGGTGAGCTTGAACCACTGACCTTGTGGTTCAAACCAGCGTTGCAGTCCAGTGCATTAGAAGGTAAATAATCTGTAATGTATCCATTTGAAACTAGAAACAGACTTGTTTTCGGCCCCAGTTTTTTGGGTACCTTGTCGGTTTTGTAATAAGCACTGGTGACGTATAAGTTAAATCTGTTGGGTGCTAATAGAAAGATTGATGATTCAGATCCACCCAGTGACTTTAAGACAAAGGCCTAGAGATCTGCTTATGTAAAAACTTGTTATTAAAAAGGAGGAGATTGATTGATCTTGCAACCTAGGAGCGGAGGCCCCTGAGACCATCAAGCAAGAAGAGTGGAAAGTGTGACCTTACCCAGAGAGACAGTGAAGCCAGGCATGGAGACAGATGTTGGCGTGGACAGATGGAGTGGCTGGGGACACGGGACTCAGAGAGGGAGAGGAACTGTTTGCTGACAGCCAGGGGGCTCTGGCCTGTGGGGTGTATCCTTTGGTTATTTGATGATGCATGGAGGGGATTATAGTCATTGCAGTGACATGTAATATAATAGGATGAATATGAAGCTGAAGTAGGACAGAGGTAAATAATGATATATGCTCAACCTTGGAACAACATGGCTCTGGGATACAGAGCTTGAGACATGGTTGCAATGGGTAAAATGGAGGAAACAATGTTAAGATGCTTGGCTGTCTTTTGAATCTTGGTTTCCCTGGCATACCACTATAAAATAGACACTGGAGGGGGAGAGAAAGGAATAGCCAAAAATATCACTGTAGAAAGCTTGAAAGTCTGTCTTCTGTCTATAACTGATTGGAATACCTAAAATGGGACTACAACGTGTCCAGTAAAGGAGGCTTCCTGCAGAGTCTCTGTATTACACAAGACCATAGGTGGATTCCTGAACAACATCCAGAATTTTCTTAGGGGAAATTTCCACTTGAAAGGACAAGCAGACCAGCCTGGAACAGCCAGAAGAACAGAAGATACTTCTTGAAAGAAAGACTGACAGGAAAAATACAAAACAATATAGGCAGACTGACTGATTACTACAAGAACAAATAAGTGACTAGCCCAGGAGACATCAAGGCAAGTGGTCGGGTCCCCTCAGTACAAACCTCCTGTGAAGGCTGGGACCCGATGGGAATACCTGCTCTGATTGGTGACCATGTTCATCACTGATAAGGGGAAGTGAGGGAAAAGCAGCAATGAAGTTACAAGCTAAGCCCTACAACGTTCAATAGACTCCTGTGAACCCGGCTGGAGACCTGGCTGGCCAGCAGTGTGGCAAGACCTGGGGACTCTTGGGCTCAGAGTTAGTGACATAGCCACAGAGGACTAGAGTGGGGAGTGAAGTGTCCAGCTGATAAGAAGAGGAGGGGCACATGCATAAGTACACCCACACTTGCAGATAATACTCACTTGACCTGGCTTCAATGGCTGGATGATCAGAGCTCAACCAGCTCAACTTGTTTCTTCAGAGGAGGCGAAAAAGAGTAATCTGATAAAATTCGATGAACTTGACCTACACCTATGGAAGCAGTAGCTCAAAAGAAGGAACAAATCTTCACAGCGAGGATCACTCCCACCCCCTCCACACAAGGAGAGGACAGGAATGGGCAACTTGGACATTGGCTACCCAGAATGGGAGGGTTGCAGAGGCAAGAAGTGACTGGCTTACAAGCTTTCAAGAGGGAAGCTATATCCAGAGGGTGTGGAGCAAGGTAGAATCTCCATTGAGTAGTATCAAATCTGTCTAGGCAGGTCTGAGGAAAGGAGATGTGGGTAGGTCTCTTGCGATACAATGGTGAATAATTGTTATCAGGACTGATTGTGAGGGCTGGAAATGTAAAGGTAGACGTTTTGTAGCAAAGGGAGGGGAGGGATTAACTTTGCAGTCTAGGGGCAACGATCCCTGGGATCATCAAGGGAGAAGAATGGAGAAGGGAACCCTACCCAGGGAATCGGTGATGCCAGAGATGGAGGCAGAG